CTCCGCCTCCTGGGTTCAGGCAATTCTCCTGCCTCAGCCTCCTGAGTAGCTGGGATTACAGGCACGCGCCACCATGCCCAGCTAATTTTTTGTATTTTTAGTAGAGACGGAGTTTCACCATGTTGACCAGGATGGTCTTGATCTCTTGACCTCGTGATCCACCCGCCTCGGCCTCCCAAAGTGCTGGGATTACAGGCTTGAGCCACCGCGCCCGGCGCCATACTATATCTTCTTAGAAACATTATGCAGTCATTAAAATTATTTAGTTTGTAAAACAGCACAGGAAAGCATGCATAGGGCAGGAAAAATACACATGCATGATTACAGCTTTGTTGTGGGAAGAAAGTCGTAAGCATAGAGTCTGGAATTAACAAAAATGTCACCTGCTTTTTCCATTAGGTTAGAGAAATAAGGGTATTTTTCTCTATTTTCCTATTTTTTCAAATTATATATTTTGTTTATTTTTTAGACGCAGGATCTTGTTCTGTTGCCCAGGTTGGATTGCAGTGGTGTGATCCTAGCTCACCAGGCTCAAGCAATCTTCCTACCTTGGCCTCCTAAAGAGCTAGGATTCTAAGTGTGAACCACCATGCCCAGCCATTTTCCAAATTATATTTAATATCATGTTAATTTTAACAAAGGCGACAAAGCAAGACTCCATCAAAAAAACAAAACAAACAAACAAACAAAAACAGGCAGGGCTCCGTGGCTCACACCTGTAATCCCAGCACTTTGGAAGGCCAAGGCGGGCAGATCACCAGAGGTTGGGAGTTTGTGACTAGTGTAAGCAATACGGAGAAACCCCATCTCTACTAAAAATGCAGAATTATCCAGGCATGGTGGTGCATGCCTGTAATCCCAGCTACTCGGGAGGTTGAGGCAGAATTACTTGAACTGGGGAGGCAGAGGTTGCAGTGAGTTGAGACCGTGCCATTGGACTCCAGCCTGGGCAATAACAGGCTGTCTCAAACTCTGTCTCAAAAAAAAAAAAAAAAAAGAAACAATAAAATAAGTATCTAATACATCCTGCCAGGCTTGGTGGCTCACGCCTGATAACCCCAGCACTTTGAGAGGCCAAGGCAGGTGGATCACCTGAGGTCAGGAGTTTGAGACCAGCCTGGCCAACATGATGAAACCCGGTCTCTACTAAAAATACAAAAATTAGCTGGGCCTGGTGGTGTGGGCCTATAGCCCCAGCTACTTGGGAGGCTGAAGTGGGAGGATCACTTGAGCCTGGGAGATGGAGGTTGCAGTCAACTGAGATTGTGCTACTGCACTTTAGCCTGGATGACAGAGACCCTGTCTTAAAAAAAAAAAATTAAAAATAAAATAACTAATGAAAATGGTGGCAGTTAGGATTTAAAATTAAAAATATATAACACACTAGAAAAATACATAATATCAAATGATGAAATATCGAAACAGAAAAATATACATCAAAAGCACAAAAATTTTATTTCCAGTGTAATTGTAATTATGTTTCAAGTGTGTGTGTGTATGGTGGGGGAGATAGAGAAAAGAAAGAAAAGTATCAAAATGCCAGGAAGGATTATATAAAGTAGGGCTGTGGTGGTTTTTTAAATCTTATTTTCTAAATGTTTTGTAAGTTATTTTTATTTATTTTTTATTTTACACATTGAATTTCTGCTGATGTATTACTTTTAAAATAAGTACCTTTTTGACATATCACCTGGCTGACTCATAGTGAGTCAACTGCACCCAGGCACACTGGTTTACCGCAGGCCTCATCTCAGCTCACTGCTGGGACATGCCTTGTCTCAAAATGATAAGATGCGTTTAGGGAATTAAAGTTCTATTGTGTCATAATTTATCAAGCCCATAGACAGATAGGGGCAAAGCTGCTCCAGTGACTTTTCGTACTATAGTTGAAAGAATGCTGAATGGAACAAGAAGCCCAGAAACACTGGTTCCATGTTCAGTACTGCATTTTTGTCCAGAGTGGTCATTTAACCTTCTTTCCTTATTCCAATACTAAAAGGGTCAGATAACTTGTGAATTTCTAATTATGTTATGTATAGAAACGTCAGCTGAGTAGAGGAGATATAGAAAGTTAGTGGTAGACTACAGCAAGACTCCAAGAGTTTGGGAAACAAGGAAGCATGGTTTATGACCTCTCATACTAGGAAAATGCAAAGTAAAGAACTCAACAATGGGTTGAGATAAAAGTGCAGGATTTCTCAAAATTTAGACAAGAAATCTGGGTAATAGCATACAGCACTAGCAACAGGTTTGAGTAACAGGAATTTTCTTTTTTTTTTTTTTTTTTTTTTTAGACGGAGTTTCGCTCTTGTTTCCCAGGCTGGAGTGCAATGGCGCCATCTCGGCTCACCGCAACCTCCGCCTCCTGGGTTCAGGCAATTCTCCTGCCTCAGCCTCCTGAGTAGCTGGGATTACAGGCACGCACCACCATGCCCAGCTAATTTTTTGTAGTTTTAGTAGAGATGGGGTTTCACCATGTTGACCAGGATGGTCTCGATCTCTTGACCTTGTGATCCACCCGCCTCGGCCTCCCAAAGTGCTGGGATTACAGGCGTGAGCCACCGCACCCGGCCTAACAGGAATTTTTTAAACTCTATCTAGCAAAAAACAGAAATTTGTGGTAGGGTGTAACCACACACACAGAATTTAGGTAGGCACTCCAGGCTAGAATGAAGATGTAGAGAAAAATGCTGTTTCAGGTATAGATGAGTGTTTCACTTGAGAGAATACCGAAGCCCAAAAGGCTCATGTAGTTTGGGGAGTCAGTACTTCTCAAACGCACTATCCAGTAGAACTTCTTTTTTGAGACGTTGTCTCACTGTGTTGCCCAGGCTGGAGTGTAACAGTGAGAACTCAGCTCACTGCAGTCCCCACTTCCCGGGTTCAAGAGATTCTCCTGCCTCGGCCTCTCATACAGCTGGCACCCAGCTAACTTTTGTATTTTTGGTAGACAGGGGGTTTCACCATGTTGGCTGAGCTGGTCTCAAAGTCCAGACCTCAACTGATGTGCCTGCCTTGGCCTCCCAAAGTGCTGGGATTACAGGCATGAGCCACTGTGTCTGGCCTTTTTTTTTTTTTGCAACAGAGTCTCACTCTGTGGCCCAGGCTGGATTGCAGTGGTGCAATATCTGCTCATTGCAACCTCTACCTCCTGGATTCAAGTGATTCTCCTGCCTCAGCCTCCCAAGTAGCTAGGATTACAGGCACATGCCACTGTACCTGGCTCAGTTTTTTGTATTTTTAGCAGAGACAGGGTTACATCACGCTGGCTAGGCTGGTCTCAGACTGCTGACCTCAAATCATCCAGCTGCCTCGGCCTCCCAAGTGCTGGGATTACAGGGGAGAGCCACCAGGCCCGGACAAGCCTGCCTTAAACTTAACCCCAGATTAGATCTGGGCTCTGGAGTTTGGAAAGGCATAGCAATTCTTTCAGTGGCACTCATAATAGAATCAACTAGTGCAGACAAGGATGTTCCTAATCTTAGACTGTTCCTAAGTGCAAAAATAACAGCCAAATCACACAGATTTATAAACTGGACTCTGGACCTAGAAATCCAGACATTGCTTTCTACCCTGACCCAGTTAAGAAAAGAGATTATTTTTTAGTATGCCATACAGGTTTATTGGTTATTTTACACAAAAGAATGTGAGCAATTTGCAAGCATTCAATATTTCAAAAGGCTCAATACAAGCTGCCTTCCTTTCAACCTAAGAAAGTATACTAACTCCAGGCAAATAGAATGGAGTCAGACTTAAAGTTTATATAACAGACTAAAAAGAAACCCAGGGTCCCTGCTTTGTTAGGAAAATGGACAAAACCGGCTAAAAGTAAAGGAAAAAAATTAAAAGTAAGATATTGGCTGGGCACCGTGGCTCACACCTGTAATCCCAGCACTTTGGGAGCCGGAGGAGGGTGGATCACTTGAGGTCAGGAGTTTGAGACTAGCCTGGGCAACAGGTGAAACCCCGTCTCTACTAAAAATACAAAAAATTAGCCAAGTGTGGTAGCACACACCTATAACCCCAGCTACTCAGGAGGCTGAGCCAGGAGAATAGCTTGAACCTGGGAGGCAGAGGTTGCAGTGAGCAGTGATCATGCCATTGCACTCCAGCCTTGGTGACAGAGTGAGACCCCATCAAAAAAACCAAATACTAAAGTACTGATTCCTATAACATTAACTATTTGCCTATAGACAGACAACACATTCAACATTCAAACATAAAGTTAATAAATTTTAAAAAGGAAAAAAGTGGCTACGCTGGGGACACTGCCTATGGGGTAGCCCTGCTCCACAAGGAGCAATTAAAAAAATAAATAAAAAGTTCTTCTTTAGAAAGAAAGAAAAATAAACAAGTAAGTAAATAAAAAGAAAAAAGTACTGGTAAAGTTATCAGGTACCAATTTTTAAAATGAATCATTAATAGTTTTACCAGCTCCCTTTGAAGGAATCCAAAAGCGAAGAAGTAAAACAAAATTTTAAAATGATGGTGTCTTCCTGAAACTAAGCCCAAGATTCCAATATTTTTCCTTTCTTCAAATCCTCTAAACCCTTTTCCTTTCTTCAAATCCTCTAAACCTATCCTATGAGGGTATCCTCTAAACCCTTTTATGAGAAATAACACACTCTGATCACTGCGAACATTTCCACACAATGACATAATCAGAAATTATACTTCTTCCATTATTTAACTTATTCATTCTTGTTCTCCACATACCATGAACACCAGAGTAAGCAAGAGAATATAATTTTCCCCTGTAACTGAAGCATTACTAAATGTACAACATGAGAAACTTAGGCACTGTGGAAGGCCCTGATGGCAAAGGAAATAAGCCACCCGCATGGCCTCAAGAACAAACTGCACATCTCTAAGGAAGATTTAGAGAGGCATTTATCCAGGAATGGGTCTTCTCCAAGGCTGGACAGGGAGGGAGTGCAGAAAGCACAGCATTTCTTGTAGGATAAAAGGTTTCATTTGGAGACACTCTGGTGTCCTGAGGAAGAGAAGGAGACACTGAAACAGCCTGTTTTGTGCATTTTAAATCTTCCTTGTTTTCCACCATCAATAACTGTTCTATCTTTTCTTTCAAAGATAAATTTGCCTGCAACTCATGTTTGGTTGTCATAAAGTGTTCTTTCTGAGTTATTCTCTGGTCCTCTGACCCCTTTGACTCAGGGCAAATGAGTTTGTTACTGGAATCCTCACTGGTTTCCCCTTCTTCTATGGGAGGTAGATGTTGAGGTTTTGTAGCTTGTTTATTCATAGATTCTTCTTTCAGTAAATTCATATCCCCGTGAAAGTCTTGAGATGTAAAACTTGGAGTTTTATCTATCCTAGAATTTTTGCCAAATAAGAAACCTTTGACATTCTGTTTCCTTGCTGCCTCTGTCACTAATTTCTTTGGCTGTAGCACTGTCCTTATAAGGAGTCCCTGTGCATTCACCCTATATTCTCTTGCAGCTTTCTCTCTGCGCTGCTTCTGGAAGTCCTTGAGTTGAAGCAGTTCGTCTGGCAGCTCCATACATGTAGGCTAAGAAGAGAAAGTGAACACAAGTTTACTATAACTAAACTTCTGAATATGGTACTTAAAATCACTTCTTTTGTTTTTTGAGACGGAGTCTCATTCTGTTGCCAGATTGGAGTACAGTGGTGTGATCTCAGCTTACTGCAACCTCCGACTCCCTGGTTCAAGTGATTCTCCTGCCTCAGCCTCCCGAGTAGCTGGGATTACAGGCACACTCCAGACATCCAGCTAATTTTTGTAGTTTTAGTAGAAACAGGGTTTCACTATGTTGGCCAGGATGGTCTCAATCTCCTGACCTTGTGATCCACCTGCCTCAGCCTCCCAAAGTCCTGGGATTACAGGCATGAGCCACCATGCCCAGCCTGAAATCACTTCTATTGTACCGAATGGTAATCGGTAAATGAGGGTCTATTCAAATGTGTTCATATAGCACCCTCTGGTGTCTTCAACTATAGAAGTACCATTTTTCTAGTAATTTCCATATTTTGAAAAGGCAGTGAATCCATAGGGCTGTGTGTCTGTGTGTGTATGCATGTATGTATAAAAATTATACAGGAAAAGTAAGTCTCCCAACCTGGCTTCAGTTGCCTTAGCAGGTACATCTTAGTTTCTTGTGTTATCTACCAAATATAGTCTACTCATGTATGATCATATACATATACATATTTTTTTTCATCGGATTACATTTTTATTTTCCTCCGCATTTTTATTTTGTTAACTCTTTCAGGTTTGGAGAGGTTTTTTTTATGTTTTTTTTTTTTTTTTTTTTGAGACAGGGTCTTGCTCTGTTGCCTAGGCTGGAGTGCAATGATGTGATCATGGCTCACTGTAACCTCTAACTCCTGTAACCTCTAACTTTGTGATCCTCCTGCCTCAGCCTCCTGAATAGCTGGAACCACAAGTCCATGCCACCATGCCTAATTTTTTTTTTTTTTTTTTTTTTTTTTTTTTGGTGACAGGGCCTTGCTCTGTCACATAGGCTGAAGTGCAGTGGTGTGATCATGGCTTACTGCAACCTCCACCTCTTGGGCTCAAGCAATTCTCCCACCTAAGCCTCCCCAACTCAGAGTAGCTGGAACTTCAGGTGCGTGCTACCACACCTGGCTAATTTTTAAATTTTTTGAAGAGACGGTTTCACTACACTGCCCAGGCTGGTCTTGAATTCCTGGGCTCAAGTGATCCTCCTTCCTCGGCCTCCCAAAGTGCTGAAATTATAGGCATGAACCACCACACCCAGGCTCTGATTATATTTTCCAGCTGCTCATATGGGTATCAAAAAGCTATTAATTTTTACATATGTACCAGGCCCTTTAAAAATTGCCTTTTTGTTTGTGGTAGTCTTTTTCAGTGGATTCTCTTCAGTTTTTAATTGTGTAACTGGCAAGTCATAATTCTGATTCCTTTTTTTCAATTTTCATAGCTCATATTTTATTTTCTAGTTTCAGTAATAGCTTCAAAAATGCTAAAATAGTGGTGATTATCACAATTTTTGTACATTCCTGATATTAATGTTCTCAAACAAATATACAGTCTTCTCTCTTGAGATACCTTCCATATCCATGAGTTCTGCATCCATGGATTCAACCAAGTGTGGATTGATATAGTCAGGAAAAAGGGCTGGGCCGGGTGGCTCACACCTGTAATCCCAGTGCTTTGGGAGGCTGAGGTGGGCAGATCACATGAGGTGAGGAGTTCCAGAGCAGCCTAACCAACCCCATCTCTACTAAAAATACAAAAATTAGCTGGGCACGGTAGTGCATGCTTATAATCCCAGCTACTCAGGAGGCTGAGGGAGGAGAATCACTTGAACCCAGGAGGTTGAGGTTGCAATGAGCCAAGATTGCACCACTGCACTCCAGCCTGGGTGACAGAGTAAGATTCTGTCTCAAAAAAAAAAAAAAAAAAAGGCTGAGCGTGGTGGCTTACGCCTGTAATCCCAGCACTTTGGGAGGCTGAGGCGGGTGGGTCACAAGGTCAATGGATTGAGATCATCCTGGTCAACATGGTGAATCCCGTCTCTACTAAAAATACAAAAATTAGCTGGGTGTGGTGGCATGCATCTGTAGTTCCAGCTACTCTGGCAGCTGGGGCAGGAGAATCGCTTAAACCCGGGAGGCAGAGGTTGCAGTGAGTCGATATTGCACCACTGCACTCCAGCCTGGCAACAGAGCAAGACTCCATCAAAGAAAGAAGAGGGGAGGGGAAATGTGGGAAGGGGAGGGGAGGGGAAGGGTATTAGGCTAGGCGCGGTGGCTCATGCCTATAATGCCAGCACTTTGGGAGGCCAAGGCAGGCAGATCACCTGAGGTTGGGAGTTCGAGACCAGCTCGGCCAACATCGTGCAATCCGATCTCTACCCAAAATACAAAAATTAGTTGGGTGTGGTGGCACATGCCTGTAATCCCAGCTACTCAGGAGGCTGAAGCAGGAGAACTGCTGGAACCCCAGAGGCAGAGGTTGCAGTGAGCTAAGATCATGCCATTGCACTCCAGCCTTAGTGACAGAGTGAGACTTCATTTCAAAAAAATAAAATAGAATACATAAATACAGAAATATTAAACTTACCCATTCTTAGACAGAAATATTTCTTGGAAACCTAACTTAATATTATGAAAAGGTGTTCAAGAGGATGGATCATGCCCAAGCTGTTGCCCTTTTAAGAATGTTTATCACCAAGTTGGCCCCATTAAAATTATTGCAGCTATTAAGCAAGAGTATCACTGTGTCTGCCTTCCATGGGAAGAAGGCAGAAAGGAGGTTCTGAAGACAGAGAGCTGCAGCTACCTCGGTGCCTCCAAGACGGTCTGCAGACCCTCCACGGTATGTGTTTAGGTATCCATCCACCAGAGTGGTTAGGTCAGACATCATCTCATCTAGGAGTGCCCAGCGAAGGGGTAATAGGTAGGTAGCTTCTAGGGCCAAAATTTTCAGTAAAGAGGGTGAAACAGGTCGGATGAACCATACTTCTGGATTTTCCTGGAGACAATAAAACAATTTCCTCTGAATAGTAAGCAAGGCATTAAAGAAAATAACTGTTTAAGACACTTAATTTAAGACACTATCATTTTCTTCTATTATTACCTTCTACTTTCACACTATCGATAGCCTTTGAGCATACACACACTTGCACACATACTCCTACATTAACAGTGTGTGTGTAAAACAGAGAAAGAGAAGGGTAGAGGAAGAGGCAGGTTGGTCAATCAAGACTTCTCAAAGCTAGAGGCAGCAAACTTGATTATGTGAGCAGAATTGTAACCAATATATTTATGACCTAAGTTAGCATGCAAGGATTATCAGGAGCTAAAGAAAATTCACCTTACTTTGGGATAAATAACTAGGGTGATTTGGTCCCATTGACGTGATCGAAACTCCCACAAAAGCTCCCCCTTGACCCAGCTAGAAAATTTATTCAAGAATGCTTTTTATTTATTTTTATTTTTTGAGACGGAGTCTCTGTCTGTTGCCAAGGCTGGAGTGAAGTGTGCAGCGGTGCCATCTTGGCTCACCTCAACCTCTACCACTCCAGCCCCAACCCTAGGTTCAAGTGATTTTCTTGCCTCAGCCTCCTGAGTAGCTGAGATTATAGACACCCGCCACCATGCCCAGCTAATTTCTATGTATTTAGTAGAAACAAGATTTTACCATGTTGGTCATGCTGGTCTTGAACTCCTGACCTCAGGTGATTTACCCGCCATGGCCTCCCAACGCGGTGGGATTACAGGCGTGAGCCACCACGGCTGGCCTAAGAATGCTAAGCTAGCCAACAAACCTGGATCTTGGCTTTTATCCGCTTGAGACCAGATATAAACTGTTCCCATTTGGCACAGTTAAGATTTTGGCAATGTTCCTATGATTACATGGCAGCTGTCGTTTTTCTATGTAACAGGCTGATAATACTGCTCAGAAAACACTTAAAAAAAGATAATGTCATACAGGACATCCTTTAACACTCACCTGAATCAGTTTTTGTCTCTCTTCTAGAAAGGAGAGATATTTAGGGGCTACTTTAAGGTGTTTGATTAAACTCTCCTGCAAAGTAGTGATGCAGTTTGGAAGATAGCCACCCGTTTCCATGGAAAACTGAAGGACATCTGCTACCTGTGGTATTTTAAAAAGACAAACAGATCAGTTGAATATATACAGAGAGCTATCTCATGGCAGAAATATATTTAGAGAAATGTCTAACTACCATTTTCCCCAAGGATCCACATGACAGACTATGTCATCATGAAATTTAAAGTTGTTCGGTCAACTTATTCTGAAAAAATGGGCAAAAAAAGCTTTTTTTTTTTTTTTTTTGAGGTGGAGTCTTGCTCTGTCACCCAGGCTGGAGTGCACTGTGCAGTGGCACAATCTCAGCTGACTAAAACCTCCACCTCCCAAGCTCAAGCGATTGTTCTGCCTCAGCCTCCCCAGTAGCTGGGATTATAGGTGCACACTACCACACCTGACTAATTTCAACTTATTTATTTATTTATTTATTTATTTATTTATTTATTTATTTATATTAGAGACGGAGTCTCGCTCTTATTGCCCAGGCTGGAGTGCAATCGCGCAATCTCAGCTCATCGCAACCTCTGCCTCCCGGGTTCAAGTGATTCTCCTGCCTCAGTCTCCCAAGTAGCTGGGATTACAGACGCCTGCTACCACACCCAGCTCAACTTTTTTTTAGAGACAGGGTCCTGGTATGTTGTCCAGGCTGGAGTGCAGTGGCTATTCACAGGCAAGATTCCACTACTAATGAGCATGGGGGTTCTGACCTGGTCCATTTCTGACCTGGGCTCATTCACCTTCACTTAGGCAACCTGGTGCTTCTTCCTGCTCCTAGGAGGCCACCACATTGATGCCAGTCTCAGTATGGACACCCAATTAGCACAGTGCCCTACAGTCCCAAACTCCTTAGCTCAAGCAATTGTCCCACCTCAGCCTTCACAGTAACTGTGACTACAGGCACAAACCATCATAGCCAGCAATCCAAATTTACTGTGTCCTTATCTACTTTTTTCCCCACCTCCCGCTACCAAGATGGAGTCTTGCTCTATCACTCAGAGCTGGAGTGCAATGGTGCAATCTCGGCTCGCTGCAACCTCCACCTCTGGGGTTCAAACTATTCTCCTGTCTCAGCCTCCTGAGTAGCTGAGATTATAGGCACGCGCCACCACGCCTAATTTTTTTATTTTTATTAGAGATGGGGTTTCACCATGTTGGCCAGGATGGTTTCAATCTCTTGACTTTGTGATCTGCCCGTCTCGGCCTCCCAAAGTACTGGAATTACAGGCGTGAGCCACTGCACCCGGCCAACAAGTGTTGTTTTTTTCCTAGTCTTTCTAAGGTTCAATTCAGGTAAACAAGTGCTTTTTCAAGAGCAGGGCTCAGGGATATTTTACTATAGTCAGAGGAGAAGGTGATGTGATGATGGAAGCAGAGATTACAGTGATGCACTCTGAAAACGGAGGAAGGGGCTACAAGCCAAGGAATACAGCTGGTTGCTAAAAGCTGAAAAAGGCAAGGAAACTCTCTCTTCAGAGCCTCTAGAAGAAACCAGCTGTGCAGAACACCTTGACTTTACCCTAGTGAAAATGATTCAAGACTTCTGACCCCTAAAACAATAAAGTAATAAATTTACACTGTTTTAGGCCACTAAATTTGTGGTGATTTGTTACAGCAGCAGTAAGAAACTAAAATTTTGTTACAGAAAAACAAATTGGTGAAATTTCTGCTTCTTGGACTATGTAAATCTGAAAAGAAAAACATGAACAGGTATGCCAAAGTCTTCATTAGACAATATGTATAAGATCTAATCAAGAAGCCTAAAGGCCTCAAGGAAACAAGCAGCAATTATCTTAGAGTTTAGAGTAAACATAAAAGCAATCTCTACTTAGGGAAACATCCTGAAAGAAGGCAGAAAGGAACATGTAAGTTAGAAATGGCAGCAAATTCATTGTGGATAGATACATAAACAGAAAAAGTGTACCAAATATAGTAACATAAAATTGAATGGGGATTGCTGCTCAAAAATAATTGGCCAACTCATTAGTTCAATTTCTCTCCAAAGGCTCTAGGCTTCTGCAGTCAAGATTTCCCTTTCAGTCATAAACCTAAAAGACTAGAAGTACCTAAAGAAAACATAATGAAAACTAGTGGTTTTAGTGCTCTCACAGCCAAACCAGAAAACTAGATCAGCTCTAAGAGATAGTAGAGGTTCATCCTTTACTTGGGTGGCTGAGGCAGGAGGATGGCTTGAGCGTAAGAGTTTGAGACAAGCTTGGGCAACATAGTAAGACCCTGCTTCTAAATGATAATAATAATAACAAAACCATAATGGTTAGTAGAATCTAGGGAATTTTTATTTCTCTAAGGTCCCTTAGATGACAGACAAATTATATTGCTTCAGGCTTTTTTGGGCCCAAATAGATTTGGGGGGCATACGCAGGACAACCTGTACTCCTGAGTTAGATGTCAGTCTGCCATAATTGTTATGTATGTGGTAAAGGCAGGCATTTGATTGTTCTCTCACACTACATCTCCCACGTCAGGCTTCTGAATGATCCCTAAATTGCTCAAGATTCACAGTGCTGTGGACTATGGATCTTGCTTCTTATTTAACAAATTCTGGAGCAAAATGAGGAAAACATCTTTCTAAATAATTTTAAGTAACTTCTCTGCAGAGCTTTTAGAGTACACCAAATCTTCTCACATATTGTACAAACATTTTACATGAGAAGTGAGCAGAAAAGGGGCACCAAAAAAAAAAAATTAAAAAGACTTTCACTTATCAGATGACCAGATGAGCCATTTTAATGTTCCAATTTTAGTATATGTGCTGCCAAAGCGAGCAGGAGCCCTTTTATCAACAGGAGCTGTGTATATTGGTTTGAATCCAGTGCTTCCCTTCATGTACCTGTGTGTCAAAGACATTATTCAGCAAAATTCCATACTGATGAGAGAGGCAATCAGAAAGCCAACGACAATCATGGATAACCTAAGGAATCAGAAGGGAAGAGTTATTAGAACCAGGCTGCTAATCATAATAGCGCAGGAATTGGTTTACACACTTACCTTCAAAATTCTCTTGTCTTCTAATATCATCTGAAGTCCATTGTTGAAAGCTCGACTTCCCAGAAGGAAAATGTCAAATAAATAAACTCGGCAATTTGTGGCCACCTACAATAGACCATTCAGACACACACATCATAGGATAAAGAAGAACTAAGGAAGGGAAATCTGAGGATGAAAAGTAAAAGACATGTTTAAAATATCTAACATCTTCACTTCATCTATCTATTTATTTATTTAGAGACAGAGTTTCACTCTATCTCCCAGGCTGGAGTGCAGTGGCCCAATCTCATCTCACTGCAGCTTCCATCTCCTGGGTTCCAGCAATTCTACTGTCTCAGTCTCTCTAGTAGCTGGGATTATAGTCATCTGCCACCATGCCCAGCTAATTTTTGTATTTTTAGTAGAGACAGGGTTTCACCATGTTGGCGAGGCTGGTCTTAAACTCCTGACCTCTTTGGCCTTGCAAATGTTGAGATTACAGGCATGAGCCACCACACCCAGCCAATTTTTTTTTTTTTTTTTTAATTTTTAATACAGACAAGGTCTTGCTACATTGCCCAGGCTGGTCTCAAACTCCTCAGCTGAAGCAATCCTCCTTCCTTGGCCTCCCAAAGTGCTGGGATTACAGATGTGAGCAACCGCACCTGGCCTAGAGTAATGTTTTTAGGGTATATATATATATATATATATATATATGTAGACAGAGAGAGAGAGAGAGAGAGGATGATGATGAAGGCTTGCTCTTTCACCCAGGCTGGAATGCAATGGCACAAGCCTGACTCACTACTGCCTCCACCGCATGGGTTCAAGCAACTCTCCCATCTCAGGTTCCCAAGTAGCTGGGATTACAGGCATGTGCCACCACACCCAGCCAATTTTTGTATTTTTAGTAGAGATGTAGTTTCACCATGTTGACCAGGCTGGTCTTGAATGTCTGACCTCATGATCCGTCTTCCTTGGCCTCCCAAAGTGCTATGTATCATGAAAGTTCTGAGAATGGGTGCTAGGTATGTCTGGCAATTGTAGTTATAACATAGTTCAGCTCTTGAAATGACAGAAATGGTATCAGACTGTCACATGCCTAGCTTTCTTGATTCATTTGGATGTTGTGTTTTAAATTAATTTTTTTTGTTTGTTTGTTTTTTGTACAGACAGGGGTCTTGCTTGGTGCCCCAGCTAGACTTGAACTCCTGGCCTCAAGTGATCCTCCCACCTCAGCCTCCAAAGTCATGAGATATAGACATGAGCCACCATGTCTGGCATCTGGATTTTTTTTTGTCTTTCCTGTCTTAGTAGATCATCCAGCTATGCTGCTTTTGTGATTTTTGTGATCAGAAACAATGTTGGCTGGGCACAGTGGCTCAGGCCTGTAATCCCAGCACTTTGGGAGACCAAGGCGGGCAGATCACCTGAGGTCAGGAGTTTGAGACCAGCCTGGCCAGTGAAACCCTGTCTCTAATGAAAGTACAAAAAATAGCCAGGCATGCTGATGGGCTTATGTAGTCCTAGCTACTTGGGAGGCTGAGGCAGGAGAATTGCTTGAACCCAGGAGATGGAGGTTGCAGTGAGCCGAGGTCTTGCCACTGTACTCTAGCCTGGGCAACAGAGTGAGACTCTGTTTCAAAAAAAAAAAAAAAAAAAGAAAGAAAGAAAAGAAAAGAAACAAACAACCTAGAATTCTTACAATTATATAAAATTGATCCGTAAGCAGCACTGAATATTTGACATTTTACCATTTGTGTCAGTGTATTTGTTGCCTGTTTTGAATTGCTAGAGGGCAGGGATCTTCTCTTATGAATAATTTTATGTAATACCTAACACAATCATGCATATTAAGGAACTCAGAGAAATGGCATTTTCAGTTGATAACAATGAGATACTGTTGATTCACCTTAAACTGGTGCTTTCCTGAAGTATTAGACTTAGAGATATAGGGAAAAAAAACTAAAAGTGCTCTTTTTTCCTATACTCTCTACTTAACACAGAACATTCTGGCCAGGTGCAGTGGCTTACGCCTGTAATCGTACCCCTTTGCGAGGCCAAGGTGGGCAGATCACCTGAGGTTAGGAGCTCGAGACCAGCCTGGCCAACATGGTGAAACCCTACTTCTACTAAAAATACAAAAATTAGCTGGATTTGGTGGCAGGCACCTGTAACCCCAACTACTTGGGAGGCTGAGGCAGGAGAATTGAAACTGGGAGGTGAAGGTTGCAGTGAGCCGAGATCATGCCACTGCACTCCAGCCTGGGCAACAGAGTGAGGCTCCATCTCAGAAAAAAAAAAAAAAAAAAAAAAAGAACTTTCTGTCACCCTAGATGTGTGTGGGTTGTTTCCTCATACATGAAGCAGGCAATTCTGCTGCTACTCTCCAGCATACACCAGCTTAGTGTCCTCTAATTCAATTCTGATGCTGTTTACCTGGAAATAGTGCTAGACCCCACAGGTTGAGGGCTCAGTTCCACAAGAGGGCAGTCTTGTGGGACTGAGGCCTCAAGCTGAATATTATGAAAGATACAAAAGATACAGATAACTGTATCTTTATTACAAAAGATACAGATAAACTGTCAGATTGAAGAGATACATAGGGCAAGGAATGGGGGGGAGTCCGCCACCCCCCAGGAACCTCCCCCTGCTCAGCTATCTGGAAGCCCTATGAATTTTTTTTTTGAGATGGAGTCTCACTCTGTAGCCCAGGTTGGAGTGCAGTGGTGTGATCTTGGCTCATGCAACCTCCGCCTCCTGGATTCAAGCGATTCTTCTGCCTCAGCCTCCCGAGTAGCTGTGACTACAGTTGTGTGGCACCATGCCCGGCTATTTTTTTATATTTTTGGTAGAGACAGAATTTCTCCATATTGGCCACGCTGGTCTGGAACTCCTGACCTTGTGATCCACCTGCCTCAGCCTCCCAAAGTACTGGGATTACAGGCATGAAGCACTGTGCCTGGCCAGGCCTTTTCTTAGTGTCTTAAAAATTAAAAAAAACAAAAGGCGGGGGGCCTGACATGGTGGTGCACGCCTATAATCCCAGCACTTTGGGAGGCCAAGATGGGTGGATCCCTTGTGTCGAAGATTTCAAGACCAGGCTTGGCAACACAGGGAGACCCCATCTCCATATTAAACAAACAAACAAACAAACAAAACCTTGGTGCTCACCTCAGCATCACATATACTAAGGGAAGGAAAGAGGGAAGGAGGGAGGGAGGAGCTAATAAAATGAGATAATCACTAACTCTATGAAAAACAAGAAGTTGTTCAAGAAAGAAACAATCCTCCTTGACTCAGCCGAGTTATCATTACAGCCATAATAACATATAGACTAGACTCTGTATTTTTTTTTTTTTTTTTAGATGGAATCTTGCTCTGTTGCCCAGGCTGGAGTGCAGGGGCACAATCTTGGCTCACTGCAACCTCTGCCTCTCAGGCTGAAGCAATTCTCCTGCCTCAGTCTGCCATAAATTCTGAATTCTGTCTTGATAAAAATTTGTGACATAACTAAGTTGGAAAGACCTAGGGAAAAGCGGATGCTATAAAGGAGCAAAATCACACAAAATAGAAATTAAAAAAAAAAAATAAAGGAGCAAAATCTTTATGTATCATGATAAAACTGAATAGATAATTTGTAAAACTGAAGAATCAAGAGAAAGCAATAAGCATGTTATTAAAAACAGGAAAATATGGGCCAGGTGCGGGGGCTGATGCCTGCAATCTCAGCACTTTGGTAGGCCAAGGCGTACGGAGTACCAGCTAGGCCAGGAGGCCCCCGACCAGGTGGCGCTGACGGCAGTGAGAGGCAGACACTGACAGAACAGCAAAGTGAGTCTATCCTGGGGCCAGCAGCCCATCGAGCTGAGAGCCTCAGGGGTTGACAGCATTCTAGGCTGAAGGCCCGTAGCAGCTTCTGATCCATGTTTTTATGCTCTCTTAAACAGGTGATTCTTACTAATAAACAGGTGTTCTGTATTTACTAATAGCTCAAAAATATACCACATAGGCAGCTGTTATCCATCTACCACTAATTGCAAACTAAAAGGTATTCTCCACAAGAGAGCCACTGGGGCAGAGTAAACCTAATGTTTCTCAACAGTAAACTTAATGTTCCTCAACAGTAAACTTAGTATTTCTCAACAAAGGTGGGCATAGCATTTGAGGTTAGGAGTTTAAGGCCAGCCTGGCCAACATGGTAAAACCTGTTTCTACTAAAATTACAAAAATTAGCCAGGCATACATGCCAGTGCCTATAATCCCAGCTACTTGGGAGGCTGAAGCAGGAGTATTCCTTGAACCAGAGAGGCAGAGATTCAGTATAGTAAGCCAAGAGATCACACCACTGCACTCCAGCCTGGGCAACAGGGCTAGATCCTGTCTCAAATTTAAAAAAAAAAAAAAAGGAAGAAACAGCAAAATAGCAGAAACAACATTTCAATGTGTTAAAAGTAGCTGACTCCCCTAATGTTTGTAAAAGTGTTTTTTAAAGTGTAAGGTACTGCACAAATATAACAATCCTGTTACTCAACTCTTTGATCTGGTTGGGGAAAACATGTCCATTAATTTGCTTGTAGTCACAGAAAGGACAGCTGTAGGCAAGGTGCAGTGGCTCATGCCTATAATCCCAGCACTTTGGGAGGCTGAGGTGGGCCGATCACCTGAGGTCAGGAGTTTGAGACCAGCCTGGCCAACATGGTGAAACCTCGTCTCTACTAAAAAGACAAAAATTAGCCGGGCAGAGTAGCTCACGCCTGTAGCTACTCGGGAGGTTGAGGCACAAGAATCACTTGAACCTGGGAGGCAGAGATGGTGTCACTGTACTCTAGCCCATGCAACAGAGCGAGACTCTGTCTCAAAAAGAAAAAAGAAAAGAAAAGAAAGGACACCTGTAGCCAACTCCATGTCCCCTTTGATAACCAGAAAACCAAAGGGGACAATTTAGGAAATAAGCTAGAACTGCCCAGGCCTGTGTTACCAGGAAATCTACTGTCTTTTGTTTTGGTAGATGTAAGTTTTGGGTTGTTTTAAGTAATTTGCATTTGTGCTGCTAATTCAAACATACTCATCTGAAAGCTAAGGTTGGCTAGATGCAGTGGCTCATGCCTGTAACCCCAGCATTTTGCAGTTAGGCTGACTTGAGACCAGGAGTTTGAGACCAGCCTAGGCAACATGGGGAGATCACATCTCTGGAAAAAAAAAAAAAAAAAGTAAAGGAAGAAGGACCCAAAAGCTATCCATCCTCTAGCTATTCTTCAAGGCTAACTACAAACTTTTAGAAAATATCATCCAGGCATGGTGGCTTACACCTGTAATCTCAGCACTTTGGGAGGCAAAGGTGGGCGGATCACCTGAGGTCAGGAGTTTGAGACCAGCCTGACGAACGTAGTAAAACCCCATCTCTACTAAAAACACAAAAATGAGCCAGGTGTGGTGGTACGTGCCTGTAGTCCCAGCTACCCAGGAGGCTGAGGCAGGAGAATTGCTTGAACCCAAGAAGCAGAGGTTGCAGTGAGCCGAGATCGCACCATTACACCCCAGACTGGGTGACAGAGCAAGACTCTGTCTCAAAATAATAATAATAATAATGTTAATATAATGAAGACTCTCATCTGACATCTCCCAGGTCCAGGGAAACTAAAATGATGTGAGAAACCTACTGTGGAAAACTACCACCCTAGAAAAGAGGAGACACTCTTCATAGAACTAAGGTGATAGGACAGAGCTGGGAAAGACCTCCAGCAGAGCCTGAGACAGCACTGATGGCTGTAACAGTGAACCTATTCTTGCCACTGAGCTTTAAAAAAAAAAAAGTGAATCTATAAGGAGACAGAAGTTCTTTCCTTTTGAAAAGAATAAGTTGGGTACCAGGAGAAGGAAGACCATTCCAACAAGTTACGTAACAGTGACACTAGGGTGGCAGAAAGAAGACAATTCATAGATCTAACAGTGAGCCAGGTACAGTGACCTATCCCTGTAATCCCAGTGACTAGGGGGACTAAGGCAAGAGGATTACATGAGGCCAGGAGTTTGAGATCGGCCTGGGTAACACAGCAAGAGCCCATCTCAGAAAAACAAAGCTCGGTGTGGTGACACTTATCTGTAGTCCCAGCTACTCAGGAGGCTGAAGTGAGAGGATAGACAGCATGAGCCCAGAAGTTCAATGCTGCAGTGAACTATGATCTGCACTGTGGCCTGGGTGATAGAGTGAGACCCTATCTCTAAAATGTAATTTTCAAAAAGAAAGAAAAAAAAAAAAACTACCAGTGGCTCTATAATTACTTCAAAATAAAAAGTTTTCAGAAGTCTTTTACCTGCAGCCAGCACAGTTTCCCATGGCGACACACATTCACTCCTTCTGCTGCCACGCTCAGGACACTCTGCTTCTTGATGTGGAGCATCTGGTAAGAAAAAGAATGAAAGAGGCCGGGCGCGGTGGCTCAAGCCTGTAATCCCAGCACTTTGGGAGGCCGAGGCGGGTGGATCACGAGGTCAAGAGATCGAGACCATCCTGGTCAACATGATGAAACCCCGTCTCTACTAAAACTACAAAAAATTAGCTGGGCATGGTGGCATGTGCCTGTAATCCCAGCTACTCAGGAGGCTGAGGCAGGAGAATTGCCTGAACCCAGGAAGCGGAGGTTGCGGTGAGCCGAGATCGCGCCATTGCACTCCAGCCTGGGTAACAAGAGCGAAACCCCGTCTCAAAAAAAAAAAAAAAAAAAAAAAAAAAAAAAAAAAAAAAAGAATGAAAGAAAAACATTTCAGGGAATAAATGTTGGCATGATAACATCGTGATTGGCACAATTACAATGGCTACAGTAAACAAAGTGCATAATCTTTGTTAAACTTACAAAATTTGATTAATACAAAACAGTCTGTTTCACATATACACATATATCAGCACTCAACACTACTGATTCTCTTTTTAGTTTAGGAAAAGTGTTCCACAGCTGGAAAATAAATCTCTCATATACCAAATGACAATAAAAGTTGAAAACTCAAGACACCTTTTGTTACTACTGATGCGACAGAGAAAGAATCATAATCTGGCCGGGCGCAGTGGCTCACACCTGTAATCCCAGCACTTTGGGAGGCTGAGG